AAGCCATTCCCCTTGTCCTGTCACCACCCACCCTCACACACAGCCGTTCCCCCTCCTGTTTATCTGCTCCCTTCAAGCACTGAAGGCCACCATGAGGTCTCCCTGCAGCCTTCTCTTCTCCAAGCGAGAACCTGAAGAAAAATGAAGGATATCAAGGACATCCAACAAGCCTCATGTCACCAGGGTGGGGCAAACAGAGGGTGAGCAGCTCTGCTCCTTTTTCACTATTCATACCTCCCCAACACAGCTGTACAGCCAGACACCTGCCATCACTAATTACTTCTAATTACTGCTTAGCAAAAAAAAAATAAAATAAATTGATTTCCAATATCCCTCAGGACTTTCATTTATATATTTTTTTGACTACAGAGGGTTGGTACCTAACCACAACTGACACCTGGCATAGAGCACTTACTCATGGCAGCTTTTCCAAAGAAGTTGTTCATGATGTTGGCCTTTGCTGATGGCTTACTGCTCGCTGCAGACACCTGGAAGCAAACAGAGGAGTAACCACAGGAATTATTCACGAAACACAGCCCTCAAAATGCACAGCACTGCTTCTGGACAAACAGAATTAACACGTATAACTTGCTGCCTGGTCAGCATCTCAGATTTCAACACCTGTGTAGGAGAATTTGAGAAGAGTAGATAATAAATGGATCAAAAGGTTGAGAGTCCCTCAGCACTCTGGAGGCTGGGCCTTCAGAGCTAACCTAGGTCACATTCCATCTGATGGCTCACAGTGTTACTGAAAGAAGTGGTTGGGATTTGGGTCTGTTCCCAGTAAAGAACTGTTCTCTTTTTTTTTTGCAAAATATCAGTGCCTCAATTCATGGTAACAGTCAGAGGAAAGAACACAGATTGGCCAAAGCATGAAGACTTTATCCAGCTCCTCTGGCACAAATGCTGCACTGCTGAGCAGTCTGCAAAGAACTCTCATTGCTCCATTCCATTCCTATAGCCACTAGCAAAAAGAAAAATCACACACACAAACACACACACCTAGGAGAGCTTGGTCTCCTAATCCCATTTATTTTCACGTAAAACAACCAGACACTAAACTTTCCTAAACATTCAGACAAGCACGTTTCATCAGTTCTAAATCACAAAAATGAACCAAAATGTACTCCATTGTTATTAAAAAAAAAGCCAAACCACGCACAGAGAACATTACCATTTTAATACCCACTTGGAGGCCACACTGCTTTAAAAAGACTTGTGCTAATTAGAATTAAAACATAATCCTGTGCTGGAAAAAAGCAGCAGCTGGGAAGATAAACATTCTAGTCTTGCACAGGTCAGGCTCTGAAGCTTCCCTCGCAGACCAAGTTTAAACACCTTGATACTTTTAAGACCTGGGCTTCTCACATTTCACATATTGCTCAAAACAAATCCTTTTAAGCACAATAGAGAGCACGAGATCCTCAACTGGTGTATATATTGGCATAACTGAAGACAATGGAACAATTGCCTCAATGATGCAGCTATGCTGGTTTACACTAGTTGAAGATCTGGCTCAAAGAGGAACGTCAAAGTGTCAAAGTGATGGCAAATACACTTCAGTGGGCAGGTCAAGAGTGTGGCACATATACTTCCCTCAGAGGGGACTTGATGACAGAAGGCATCTTCTGTGACTGTGACACAGTTAAACACCTACAGAAGCACCTGAGCTGCCCAGCAGGCAGCAAGCTTAGCACTGGAAGCAGAGGATGAGGCTGCAGTGTGGCTGGTTAAGGTAGGCTAAATTCATAGCATCATCAAGGTTGGAAAAGAGTTCTAAAATCACCAAACCCAACCCATCCTCACTGTGCCCATTCCTCACTGTGGCCTTCCAATATTTGAAGGGAGCGGATAAACAGGAGGGGAAATGGCTGTTGATGAGGGTGGGTGGTGACAGGACAAGGGGGAATGGCTTTAAAGAGAGACAGGGGAGGTTTGGGTTGGATGTGAGGAGGAAGTTTTGGAGGCAGAGGGTGGTGAGGCAGTGGCACAGGTTGCCCAAGGAGGCTGTGGATGCCCCATCCATCCCTGCAGGCATTCAAGGCCAGGCTGGATGTGGCTCTGGGCAGCCTGGGCTGCTGGTTGGTGACCTGCACACAGCAGGGCTTGGAGCTGGATGAGCACTGTGCTCCTTTGCAGCCCAGGCCATTCTGTGATACGATTCTATGATGTGATAACGTCCCCAGGTGCCACATCTACCCTCTTCTCGAACACCTCCAAGGGCAGTGACTCCACACCTCCCTGGGCAGCCCATCCCAATACCTTACCACTCCTTCAGCAAAGAAACTTTTCTTAACATCCAACGTGAAGAGCAAAGCTAGAAGAGCAGTTCATTAAAGCCATTAACCCAAAGGGTCTGACATCACTTACACTTGGAGCCTCCTTAGCTTTGGGTTCTTTATTTGTATCCTGGACTTTGGAAGCAGCTTTGGCTGCAAACATCCCCATGATCCCCTTGGGGGGCTGCGAGCTCTGCTTAGCAGCTGTAGGACCGTGGCCATTGAGTGGTGGTGTGCTGACAGTGCTTGTGTCACTCGGTGTCTGGGAAGCAGCCCGTGCCAACGTCCGTGCTTGAGCAACTTCAGCTGGAGTCCTGGGGACTGCATCAGCACAGCGAATGGCACTGAACCTGTGTGAAGGAGTGAGAAACTGAGTTAACCTCTGGGGTGTCCACCTCTTCTGGGGTGTCCCACCTCCTCTGGGGTGTCTACCTCAGCTCCCTCCCAGGCAGCGCATTGCTTCTCCTGTTCCGCGTTCTCCTGTTATGGGAAGAGCAATTTGATTTGTGCCAGAGCTGGCACTGAGAAAAAAAATGAGGGAGACCTCTACTGAAAAGATCAGTTGGACCTGTCAGCAGGAGCCAGAGCATTCAGATGCAAAACAAGTTCAGATTTTATGGGGGAGGAGGGAGCCCATCTTCACACCCAGGGTGGGGATGGAGTCAACTGCATTCTATTCCTAAACTGGTTGCACTCCCTCAGGCTTAGCAGCAGACATAGTTTTGCTATCTGATGAGCTTTACAACTTTCAGATGCTTTCACAGAGTCCATTACAGCTGCAGCAAGCAGGTAAGGAGATCACAACTGCAACCCAACTGCTGAGGTGGCTCCCAAGACATCGAGGGACTTCGCTATATAAAGGCATTTCCATGCAATCTCTTGCAGACGGAGATGCATCTCAGCTTGCAGCAGTCTGAAACGTGATTGTCTGAGGGAGGCTGAGATACAAGAATTGAACGACGTGCTCACAGTTACAACACAAGTCACTGACAGTCAGGAATAGCTGTACCCAAAAATAACCCAGTTCTGCTCCCCACTGTGCGAATCACAGGCAAGGCTTTCCAGATTTCCTACAGCAATGCCACAAAAGAGCACGGGCTCACGCCTCCCCATCCATGGAATGACACAGCGTGTTTTTATTTGCATAAGAAAGCAAGCAGTTCTCTGCCAATTAATTGCCTCAGCATTAGCAGTCCACTTTGACTCCGATCACAAACTGAAACGCATCAGCAAATATCTGTGTGGCACTTTGAGGCTGCAGCAGCCATCTCTCGACATCCAAACCTTTAAAGGAAGGAAAGACGACATTGAGGGAAAAATATTCCCCCTTTCCTTTCTACTTTCAGCCTCTTTTCAGCTCACTGCTACTCCATAAACACTCGTGAGCAACACCAGAACTCACCAGATTACAAACGACACGTGATCATCAATGGCTGTATTGAGTGTGCAGCAAAGCACATCTCAACCTCACGCACCTCTGGGAAGTTACCTTGCCTTAATGCTGCTGTGTGACTATAGCTCGTGGGCTCCATCCAAAATTCACTCAATAATCACTGAAAAAACAAGCAATGTTTGGACTGTGCTCTGCAAGCAAGGAGCTGCTTCCGCTTGGAAAGCTGACATTAGCAACATACATTAAATCCAGCTATTTACATGAGGGCACCAAGTCACCTCCACTGCCTTCGCAGCATAAGAGGTCCCATACAAATACAGAGGAGAATATATAGATCCTGGCCCCAGAGCTTATGAGATATATGGACTGAGAAGGAAATAAGAAGCCAGTGGGTTCTGTTTGCTATAAACATGCACATAGTCAGAGCTCTGTGCTCGCAGGGACTGTGGGGATCTCATCCCAGCTGTAACAGACTGCTCATGTGGTGGACAAGTCCAAGGGAGAGGGAACAGGGCTGGTCTGAATTTCGTTCAGCCAGCACGCAGATGAAGAAGCTGCGTTTTTCTCAGTTTGTTTGGGAATTTCTGCTCCAAAGCCAGGAGGAGAATTAAACCTAGGGCTGCAGAAAGCAGATTTCAGAACCTGCACTGTCTAAATCTGCTGCGTGTACAAATCTGAAAGGCAAGCATCTCTAAGACACAGGCACCCCCACGTGGGGCTAGCCCACAGTAAACAGAGCAGAACAAGGTGAAGGCAGCCAGAAGAACGCCATACCTCTCCCCTGAAGCTGGGCTTTCCACTGCCTCCTATGGCACTGACATTCACATCCCAAATGCAGTTTCTAAGATCTTATTCTTCACCCAGAGGGTGGTGAGGCAGTGGCACAGGTTGCCCAAGGAGGCTGTGGATGCCCCATCCGTCCCTGCAGGCATTCAAGGCCAGGCTGGATGTGGCTCTGGGCAGCCTGGGCTGCTGGTTGGTGACCTGCACACAGCAGGGCTTGGAGCTGGATGAGTGCTGTGCTCCTCTGCAACCCAGGCCATTCTGTCATTCTATGATTTTCTCACACTGTTGTGAGCATTTTGAAGGCAGCTCCATTTCTACTCTTCTATTCCATACTCTTTCTACAACTTAGTGGTGTAGAAGCTAGAAGGAGCATCCACCCTCCATCTAACACACAGTGCCCATGGTGCTGCACGTAGCAACTGCAGCAAGATGAAGCTGTCAGAGTGGAAATGCATCTGAATGAAAGGTCAGAGATGCCAGGCACCACACAGAGGGAAAGAAGGAGGCTGAAGTTCTTCTGAATTCTAAGGCAACCTTCTACTAATCCAACCACAAACAACGCTTGTTCACAATTCCATACGGGGAATGAGTTCCTGCAAACCATCTTAGAATCCCTAGCATGGCCTGGGTTGCAAAGGAGCACAGCGCTCATCCAGCTGCAAGCCCTGCTGTGTGCAGGTCGCCAACCAGCAACCCAGGCTGCCCAGAGCCACATCCAGCCTGGCCTTGAATGCCTGCAGGGATGGATGGGGCATCCACAGCCTCCTTGGGCAACCTGTGCCAGTGCCTCACCACCCTCTGCCTCCAAAACTTCCTCCTCACATCCAACCTAAACCTCCCCTGTCTCACTTTAAAGCCATTCCCCTTGTCCTGTCACCATCCACTCTCGTAAACAGCTGTTCCCCCTCCTGTTCACATGTAGTGAAAGGCCACAAGGTCTCCCTGCAGCCTTCTCTTCTCCAAGCTCAACAGGCCCAATTCCCTCAACCTTTTCTCATAGGAGAGGTGCTCCAGCCCTCTGACCACCTTAGTGGCCCTCCTCTGGGCCCTCTCCAGAGAGGTGGAAGAGACCAAAGAGCAAAGGCACAGTCCCACAAAACAGAAGGCAAGCTCAGGTTACTGCTTTGCTGAACACATCACTCGTGCTTTTGTACTGTTTCAATTTACCCTTCCTGTGTGACAGAGAACTGGATAAAATCAGGGATGATTAAGTGTGGCCAGGAAATGAGAAAAATGTTTCTAGCCATCTGACAAGAAAGGTACTGGAACTCTGCTGGAATAACAGAGTAAGTGAAGCAACTGTAAGCTGGAAATAGCTCCGTTTATAAAGCAATCATCAACGTGCTGTCTGGGGACTGGTTTGGCATGGCTCTTCCCTAGCTTTCTAAAAATCCAGGCATATTTGGTAACCACTGCCTTCTGCTGAAGTGCACTGGGTAACAACGTTTCATCAGTCTCCACTCACGCAGCATAAGAAGGAAAACCTAGGAGCAACTCACTTGCTGCAGTTGTGCAGGTTGGTTTTGATGATATCGTAGTCTGTGTTGTAGAGCGGCCCGCTGTCTTTGAGCAGGGCTTTCTGAATGCTGTACACATGGATGCTGGTAACCGTGGTCAGTTTGGACTTTATTGCTGGGTGGGGAGAAAGAAGAGACCTCTGTTAGCACAGACATTAAAGAACCAGGGGACAGCTCTACCTGAATTCATAGAATGGCCTGGGTTGCAAAGGAGCACAGCGCTCATCCAGCTCCAAGCCCTGCTGTGTGCAGGTCGCCAACCAGCAGCCCAGGCTGCCCAGAGCCACATCCAGCCTGGCCTTGAATGCCTGCAGGGATGGATGGGGCATCCACAGCCTCCTTGGGCAACCTGTGCCA